ATAATAAAATCAATCATTAATAAGTTCATAAGTAACATTATCCATTCTCAGTTATTATCGTTCATTAAAGAAATTACTATAATTACTAATTGAGCAATAAATTCGCCACTGCTTATTCATTAATGTTATTTCATTTCAGGAAAAGTAAAATATTCTCCATAAAATTAAATTCTACTTTTATCTATCATGAGTTTTCATTTTTTAACTACTTACTGCAGTTACGCGTACTGACACTTGAAATATTTTACGGATCGAATGATTCAATAAACATAGTTATTGTAAAATTCTAAAAAATACTTTTCATTATAATAAACTATTGATTTTCTAGTGAAAATGTATGATTGTTTACAGATTGGTAAATAAGTCATACATGAATATGCGCCTTAAGGTTAGCTAAAAGTGGAAGAGTCAGCGTTCGGCCATTGCAACTGTGCTGCAAAGACGCGTCGCACGTGAATAATATTCTCTATTATATTTAATTATTTAATTAACGAAATTACTATATTTTCATTTGATTTCTTCCGAAATTTCTAATAAAACGGTGATAATCATGAGCGACCGACCGAGTAACGGTGAATATAAATATCAAAGGGACGAAAATACCGATTCAAAGGTAAGAACATCGTCTGAAAAGGACCGCGATGAAAAGGAGCATCAAGTTGATAAGGCCGGGGAATATGTCCGGGAGCTTCTGCAAGAAAAAGTTGAATTGGATTCGCAGAAATGGCCTAATGCAACCAGACTAATCGATCAAGGTAAATATTGTCGTATTATTGTTCATACTTGCTCTTTTTTTTCAACTCAATTGTACTGTTTTTACTATATATGCTCACGTTTACCATACTCCGTTTTTATGTTTGCTTTTGTGGTTTACATTTATTTATCATACAATTTTTCTTTGCTTTCTATTGCTTTCAAATTAAACAAAGTAAGCTAAAAATTGTATACTTAAGATTAGACTATTGTATAAATGACAAACTGTTTACAATTTGTTATTTAGTTCTTTAAATATTATTTTTAATTAGTAATAAATGCAATATGTCACTGTCTGTGGACTAACTGTACCAAGGAGGTCAACAGTTCGCATCGAAGCGGCTGCGGCGTTTATTTGGTGTCGGTAAATTGGTAACCGACATACATTTTAGTTCATATTATGCCCGTTATTCTTCACGATGAATGGTTTTTGAATTATACGTTCATGGTTATAAACACATTTCTATATATAAACTATAAACAAGCAGAAATTATAATAAAAACTATAAAATTAAAGAACGGTTGGTATCGATGATTTCCGCGTATGTCACTTGCCTATCATACGCCATTTCACATAGCGCTGTGAATTTGACGTAGTTCGATGGAACTTACTGTAAATGCAATAATTTTTATCATTTCATATTTATTAATCTAGAATAATTGTACCTTTTTATGTTAAATAAATATGTCAAAATACAAATATGTTTAGTTTAATAATTATTCTATTATTGTATCGTAGAATGTCCCATTACTTTTAATTACTTTGTCCCATAGAAATTCAAAAAACTCAAGCTATTGGAAAACCAGTTAGGGATCCAAAATACGTGGATATTTATCGTGAAAAACCGATTCGCGTTTCGGTTAAAGTATTAGTACCTGTTCGGGAGCATCCAAAGGTAATCGCATTTGTAAACTAGATTTTTCTAACTCTGATAAATACGGAAATAAAATTATATTATGAAATTCTTTGTAGTTTAATTTTGTTGGAAAATTATTGGGACCGAAAGGTAATTCTATGAAACGTTTGCAAGAAGAAACCATGTGTAAGATGGCAGTATTGGGAAGAGGATCTATGAAAGATCGTCAAAAGGTAATTTTGTAATTTTTTTTTTTTTGAATTTCGTATTCAAAATTTTCCATTTTCTCAAATTTTTCATTTCAATTACTGCATTTTAAACATTTATCACGATATAGGAAGAAGAATGCCGTATGTCTCTGGATCCGAAATACGCACACCTATCAGACGATCTACACGTCGAAATAACAGCGCTCGCGCCGCCAGCAGAGGCTTATGCGCGTATTGCGTTTGCTTTGGCCGAAGTTCGAAAGTACCTAATTCCTGATAATAACGATAACATACGCCAGGAGCAAATGCGTGAAATGGAAATGAGTATGGGGGATGATCCATCAAGTGCCGACGACAGAAGACCTTCTGTGAGAGGTGTGCCAGGTGGTGGTGGTGGTGGTGGCGGTGGTGGTGGTATATTAAGGCCGACTGCAAGACCTACGATGCCTCGATCTTCACGAAGTTAGTGATCTTGTTAATTATTAGAATTAGAAGTGACAAATATTCGATCTCGTACAAAAGGAATAACACACTATTGAATCTTTATACCACAATTTTAACAAGACTTAAATTTCAAGATATGCTATGGTTTCTTATACTTTTCCATTTCAGCGGCGATACTACCTCCGCCTTCCAGTCGTGGACCTGTTTCACGTCCTGTGTCAGCGAAAAGCAAAGTATTTTCTATCTTGGATCGTGCTAGAGTCGCCATGGATCAAAGTTATGGGTATGTTTTTTTGTTCATAATCAGTAAAGAAATATCGTTTAAAAATAATATTATATTATTCACAGTTATGAGACTGCTACTCCACCTCCGAGCAATCGCGTTGGATCACATCACGATTACGATTACCACTCATCGACAGGCAGCAGTAGCAGATATGGAGACCGGCATTATACATCGGGCTCAGGGTAAGTATAATTGACACAAGTTCACTGAAAAGAATTTCTACTCGTGATACTTTAGTTAATATTAGAACCATTATAACAACAAGTCACCTTGAAATATGTTTTGTTTTACGTTTACGTATATGCCTTTTCGTTACCGAGATATCGTTATTGAAAGCCTATCGTGGTATTTGATATTTCATTATCTTCACCTTTCTCACATTCGGATCACCTTCTCGTATATCACTGACCTATCTGAAGTTCTATGCCCGTGCAATCAGCCGTGGAATGCTGAGTCAACGTGTTTTTTTTTTTTTTACTATTAGTACGCAGCGTACAGATTTCTAGAAAAAAGTAGATCAGACCAGTTTCCAAGAATTTCGATTGCCATTCAATCACTCCCATAAATGGTAAAATTCAATTTTATATCTCGAGAACTAATTGACATATCCATCTAAAACAGTGCGCTTTTTTTCCATCTTCTCAGTCAGTTTCAGTGAAAAAGTTTTAGAACATCATAAATTAGGAGCATATGTTGTTAACACGTTTACCGCCACAAAAAAATTTCCTCACTTCTCCATTGCATCGCCATGCCGTTCACATGTGACTACGCCGTTTCTCATAACCCAGAGCGACGCTATATAAAAACTATGCGCCGACACACGTAACCTTTATCAACGTGTTAATATCATAATTTTCGAAAATAGTTTTTTTCTCAGTAGATATTGAAATTCTATTGATTATATCGTATATAATGTAACAGTATTGCTTAATATTATTCTTTATTTGTTATTTCTTTGCTAAGTTGGTAACAGTTAATTGTCTTTAAGTCGCATTTTTCCTCACTATGTGTAGAAAGCACATAAATTTGGAATACTGTAGCTCGTTAACGTACATTGTACTTTTATACATCATTTAGAGATGATATATATCCTTCCTCGAGGTACACAACTTACGAGTACGAAGACGACTCTGTTCCGCATTCTTCGCACGACTACTACGAAACGTCTGAATATCCAGGTAATGTACCTCTCGTTTCCTATCTTTACTGTTTTCTCTGGCATAAAAATTTAACACACAATTAAACGTAAATTATCATAAACATACGTAGACGCATGCGTGATATGTACAGAATTAACATAATTGCGATGACATTAAAGTTCTCTCGATTAAAATGTTTTAATATAATATAATTATACATAGACGAACTTGCGCTGAATTGTTGTTCGTAACAATAATAAAAAAAAAAAAAAACATTTTGAACTGAACGAAATCGTATAAAGAAATATAAAAAGTTGTCGAGGTATGAATCTAATAAAATTAGATTAACAAGCATTAATATTTAAAGCTTTAAATGAAACTTTAAATATCAGAATATTAAAAAGAAAAAACGTTAATAATATGGTCTGTGTAGATGTAATAATCAATTTGTAACTTCTTGAATGATTTACAGTTTTCAATTTACTGTTAAATCCGAAAATAATTAATTGAAATAGTGAGATTATTAAAAAAAAAAAAAAATCTTGAAATTTGACATTTCTCGTTCAAACTAATATATACATAAACAGGTGGACAAAGATAAAGAAAATAATTTCTATAATTTTGATGAACTCTTCAAAATCAAGATATATATCTTTTCGTATCGAATTCAAAGGTTTCCCTATAATATCCAATGCTAAATAGTTTAAGTAACTGCTTCACATAACAACGTGTGATGTTATAGCTGAGCAATTGCTGAACCCTTCAGCGATCCATTCGCAGCAGTTCTCTTCTTTAAAACGTCTGAAATAACACAAAAGCCCTCGCTTTCGCGTAGAATAGTTAGGAAACCATCCGATTAATATCTTATATACATATACTTATATATCGTCGTGGTGCACTGATTTAATAAAAATAATACAAATGAATCACTCCATGAAATTCGCAGAGGAATCATCGAGCCGCGCATGGAAATCGTACAAGACGACGACGACATCGGGCTCAAGCTCGCGCTACCGCAACGCTCCGTATTCACGACCTTCCAAGTAAACATCCACAAAAAAAATCATCCTAATATTTTCTTAATTTTTATCATATCCGCAAAAAAAGCAAAAGCAAAAAATATTCCTGCGTTGTAATCGATGAGAAACCATTTTTTTTTCTTTCTGACTTTATTGTTTCTCATAGCTCTAAACCGTTGACGTGTAATCTTCCTAACTCACGACGTCCTGTGGTGCCTGCGATGCCAAAACAAATAACCGATCGAGATCGTCTTTAAATGAAAACGGAGGTACGGAGAGACTAACACGGTAAACGATACGCAGACCGTATTTACAACATTTCATTGTATTGCGACGATAGAATGAAACGGATACAACGTTAACTGTTATCCGTAATTCGATTTCTTGGAGGCTTGAAAGAAGTCTGTTTTTCTGGATCTTCAGTCGTGATAGTTTCATTTTAATCGACTCATTTCAATCGACAAAAGAAACTTCCTCGCTTGCGTGTTTTTATATCTTGCTTTTTTTTTTTTTTAATTCTTTTTTCAATTCAACTCTTCCAGTTACTATGTAAGGGAGCTGATATGCTTTTTCGATGAATTTTTCGTGATTGTTGGATAAGTTCCGGAACACGTGATACAATGAAAGAAATGTAATTAATATGTCTCGGCGAACTTCGAGCGTGTTTGTATTTGCAGAAAAAAAAAACAAAATTTGTAGAAAAAAAAAGTCTGAATCGATTCACGTTGTAGTCTCTGATTTTCTATGAAAAGTATGAGAGGGAACAAAAGAGAGAAACACCCATTCCTTTAAATCCTCTTTCTCCTCCCCTCCTAGAATAAAATGTCACGTCAGAGTGGAAGGCTAGAGAGGACCAAGAGGATCAGTGGAACGAGACAAGTAAAATTGTTAAATAAAAAAGAAAAAGAACGTCGGAGCTGTGTCATACTTTTCTACGGATTAAATTTTGTATATTTTTTTTTACTATTCTATTTTGCACATAAACTGAATCTTTTTTTTTCTTTTTCTTTTTCTTTTTAATTGGTACTGTAGAATGGAGTTCGTACTAAAAGTGTATATTTTTAATGGGATACTTTTAATATTTTGATCTTAAAGTATCATGTTCTGTAAACAATGAATAATACGTACATACATAGCTCGGACAGTCGTGTGTGTTATAATGCATTAGCAATACATGTCCAAAATAGGACGAAAAGTAAAATATTGTAAATGATATTCAGTTGCAGATGACCGTATACAAATTAATATTAAATAAGTTGCATACGACGACACAAATTATATCGTGATTGATTTAATATTAATGTATATAGTACTTAAAGTGATCAAAAAAAAAAAAAAAAAAAATTAAACTGACGTGTTGAAAGTTTTAAAAAAGCATAAATAAATGTTAACGCACATGTGCAATAGTTAACACATGTGAAAAATATAACTCTAACTGTAACCCTATAATCATTCAGTATAAGTATACAAACAAAAAGATCGTAAAATAACTTGTGCGTAACTTATAAACATTTTCTCGTTTTTAAAGTAATTACCTGTTTTTTCCGATACATATGTACATACATATATATGTATATGTAACTCTCGTAAAATTAAATAAATGACAATTACAATAGGGCTATATAATAAGCTATATTTGAAAAACCTAAAATCAAAATTTTAATTAATCAATACCATTATAACTTGACCGAAAATAAAGAAATATTATCTAGAACAAACAAGTAATTAATATCTTCAGAAGTTCTTTATTTAAATCTATATATCGATATATTAGTAATTGCAGCTAATGTGATTAAGTTTTAAAATAACAATGAAATGTTAATTAATATTAAGATACCTTGTCGAAAGAATATAATAAACTACATTTAATTTTCTTTAAATGTTTAACTGTGTCTTAACTACATTAATATAAGCAAATAAATAAAACGTTTAAAAAAAGTATTCATTATGTCTGTTAAACACCAAACATATACAGGTTTAATTTGTATTAAACTCGATTGATCTTGCACGTTTATTTAAACTCTTTCTTAGCGATAAGTCTATATGATATACAAACTATTGTGATGTCAATCCATTGTTACACGCATTATCTAACATAATCTGATTGAAGTTTCATTTTCAAGTGTTGAAAACATTTACCTCTAACATCTTCTTTTTCATGTATCCCTCATAGGTGTATAGAAGAATATGGAAGATCGCGTGGGAACGCGTTTTCTTGGATTGAAATATTTTAATCTCCTGTTTCTCTGTTCAGCGGAGTTTGAAGTGCCTTGAAATCACGTGAGTAGAATTCCGTTACCGCTAAGTAATTCTTACACTTAGCTTGAACAGCTTTATTTTTATTTGCTTCGGTTATTTTTCGCTACAATATACATACATGAAAGAATTTTTTGATTTCTTTCCATGGAAACGAAAGTGTATTTTATAAAAGGTTAGACGATGTGGTTACAAAACATAGTGGTAAAAGCACCAAATATTTTTTTTCTCTTTTTTTTTTCTGTATGCATGATCACTTTGGTTTGCCTTCTTTGTTAGTTTAATGTAAAAATCTATGAGATAGTAAGACTTTCTTTCAGGCAATGGAGTGTGCAGACTGTGCACAGCATTATCATTGCATCAGTCGAAGAACGTAACAGCGTTTAGCTGTTACACAGTGACCGGTATAGTGAAAAATTAAGATATGTGTTTTAAATGTCTTTAAAAATTTAACATCAAAGTTGATCCTTTCAACACGGTAGGCAACATTTAAATGAATACAATCTTAATTCGGTGTATTTTTGTGGTATCGTAAATTGTTCAAACTGTATAGCATTGACGATAACGGATAGTATGTAAAGTAGTTTTAACTGTTCATAGAGATTCTCTTAGATATGCTGGTTATCTCGTCCAGGAATTATCGGTGTGAATAAATGTGATTTCTTCTACCTCCATTTTCAAATCTAACTGATAATACTTAATTAACAAATATCCATGTAATCTAATATAGTTTTTTAATCTGCATGACTGTACAACGTAAGCAAACATAAAAAAAACCGGTCAAGTTTACGGATAAAGTGATGATTGTACATTTAATATTTTATATAAAGTATTAGGAATCTAATATTGTAGTGGATATAAATGTGTGTTACTGGGTTATGTGCATCCGACGCCTACAATAAGAAAAAAACTTCAACGGAAAATAAATAAACCAAAAAAAAAACAAACAATCAAAGAATTAGTGAATATTTAATTTGTACATTGTAAGCATTATTCTGAATAATAATTGGACTCGTTTATTCCCTTAATTCATCTCGTAAAACCCGCGTAGAGAACCGAATTGTAATTTTCTCCAGTAGATGGCGCAGTTGCTGTTTGCTACCAAGATGGCGTCGATAAACGCGGTGAGTACGAAGTGTTTGTACATTTTTATGTGCAAAAAAAAGTTTTCGATTAACGTTCGAGTATAGTTCAAAAGTACGTGGAAGCAGGGTTGAGATAAAGTGTTACTCGTCTTTTCGTTCGAGATGATTGATCGAGTTAAAACGGCACAATTTCGTTCGCACAATTTGGCGCGCTTCGTCGGTAATAGGTACGCATATTTTCAAACTGATACTGGTATTTAAAGATTGTTAAAAACATATATTGTACACAGAAAACTTAATACTTTATGTTATTACACAATGTCTTCGAAATAAATCACTACAGAACGAAAACTGTTGCACGACTCTCGTATTTTACATTCTTACTGGTACCATTTCGTACTTCAAGCTAAGCGGTGATTATTATCGAAACGCAACATGGCGTTCGTAATTTCTCAAAAATCAACGACATTCACGAACCGTTCAACGTTAAACTATTTCTCACAAACAACAAAATTTTCCACACGTGAAAATCACGACGAAGATAAAATATATAACACACGTCAACAATGCCAAGCTCGAAGTACCAATGAAATATCAAGAGACCCACAATTTAAATGACAATCAGGATCGTATCGAATATAAGTTTGTAAATTGCTTAGAAACAATATTCTTATTTATTTATCACACACCAATATACAAAAATGAACTGTATAATCAATATCAGAATATAATATACTACGAAATTCAAATATATTTAATAAAGATATATCTGAGTATCTTACAAGAGTAGAATGATGCTTCAACTTGGAACAAAAATCGTCTACAACATTCTTTGCAGTTGGCACAGAAATTCTGGTAGAAAAACGTCTTTCTACGGCCGCTCTAAGGATTATAAATAAGTATTAATTTACGGGACCTTACTTCTAACGAGTCGCCTAAGTAGTCGTGAGTGAAAATAAAGGGATTCAAGGATTTCCTTCTGTTTTCTTCTTTCTTTTTTTTTTTTTTCTTCACCTAACTTTCTCTGCCTCCCTCTCGCGTTTCCTTCGTCGAACTAAAATTCTCACGGCGTTGGTCTCGAAATTCCAGGAAAAATATTTCCCTCGACCTTTCTTTCTTTTTTCGTTTTCTCTCGTAATTTTCACCGAAGAATATTGCGATCGAAGCTCTCACGTGCAACGGTCGTAAGGATGAGGGGAGGGGATGGAGAAAAACGTGTTCGTTGTTGGGAATAAAGTTTCTGTTTTACCGACGCGACAAAAGTGTTCGGCTTCGAGAGAAGAAGCGTCGAAGGTGGTGCGTCCACTTCGCTAAACGAAAGGAAGAAATTGTTATCGGAGCGGTATCCGGTGCGCCCTCCACGACCACGCTAATACCTCACCACTATGAAAAAACATGGAATGATAATAGTAATTTTACGTGTTCATTTTTTTTTTTTCCTTTTCTTTCTTCGTCTTCGCCTCCTTCCGTTCTTGCCTTGTTTTTTTTCGAGTTTATATCTTAGTAATGTTACGATTATATCACAAGAAAGATTCAAATACTCTGTACATAATATCCCGGAACGCGAGACGTTCGATCAGGTTTCTTAATCTTACATTTACATATACGCCTAAGATTTAATTACAAAGTTAGATATGTCTCAGGTTCACCTGGTATTGTACTTCGAACGCAATTTTTCCTGCCCTCCCGTTCTGCGTTTCCTCGCCACCAAAAAATCACTGTTCCAAAACGTGTACGAAACGAGCACCTGTATCCAAAATTCGAGAACACTTCTCTTTTCTCGCTCGACGAGAGAACCAAGATCGTCCACGCGTCTTTAATAAACCGATCGTTTCACTTCCGGTGCTCGTTCGATCTCGCGAATCAACATGGCGACTACTCGTTTCTATCTAGTCGCTCGCTCTTACGTTTCTAAAACTCGATATCGTTAATTGGCACATCTCAAATGGCAACTTTCGCATTGGCACGATGAAAATGATCCTTGGAAATGTTCCTCAGGCTTTTTTCTTCTTACTTTTCGCTTCTTCTTTTTTTTTTTTACCTTTTTTCTTTTTTTTGTATATTTTTTTTGTTTTTCCTCGATTCGTCGACGAACCGACGATCGCGAACCTTGTCCCGCTGTTTTCGAGAGAAACGAAATTTCTTAGAGAGGAGTTTGTGTAACAACGGGGAGGAAAGTATGCACGTTGCATCGATTAAATTGCTCGACGAATTGCCGGTGACTTTTCTTTTTCTCTCTTTCGCTGCACTCGGCCACAGAAAGAATCCGTCAAGCCTCGTTCTCGCTGGTTTGATTCTCGATACTCGCGGTGCAAATGTCGACGATCCCCTCGTCTAAACACTGGTAATTAGCGTGATACAGTCTCGGTGGAGCGGTTCTGAATTTTTGCAAATTGTACGCGCAAGTTAGAAAGAAAACGCGTGTTTCGGTAGGGCGTCTACGGGGCCCTTTCTGAAAGCACTATCTTCTCGGGGCACTATCTCTGCGGCGTTACACTGGAATTTATTCTAGAGATCTACGAAAGGTGCACGGCAAGAATTGCGAAATGGATCGATCGAACGTAAACGAGAATCGTCGAAGACATCGTGTTAGAATTGCAAACGTTCGAGTGTGTGCGTGTCAGCGATCGTGGGGTCGTGTTGAAGAGACGGTAAAAATGGTTTCGCGAATGAATGAAATCACGTGTAAGTACGTACGTAAGTTGGTCGAATCGCTAATAGAGAAATCTACTCGGAGAGGAAAATTCGCACCGCGGCATACCTTCGACTATCTAAACTCGAGACGAAAAAAATCATTTCACGCGTATCGACTAAACTTGCCCCTTAGCTTCGTTACGGTTTAATTCCTAGCTTGAACTAGCGCGAGATCGCCACACGGGAGCTCGTCGTGTCATCGTGCTAAATCGGAATAATAATCGTTTTCAACGATCGTGTTCACACACCTCCTCGTATTTTGATTTAAATAAAAGAAATCTGCTCGGCTACTAACGCGATAGATAACAACTCTAAATTAATACTTTTTCTTTCCTTTTAGCCTCGGACGGCTGTTGCACGTTCTCACCGCGTCAATTCTCACCCATTTCTTTCTTTCCCTCGCTCGTTTTCGTCGCGACAGCCTTTGTCCAGCCTCGCGCGAGACAATCGAATCTTTTTCCCTGCATTCTACGGAAGAAATTGTCGCGAGGACGACGTAGAGATAAGAGAAACAAGCGAAACGGCGATATCGACCGATTTCGCGACCGAGTCCACTGGTTGTAATTTTCACATTGAAAATCTAGCGTTGTTCGTCGGTGTACGTTACTCGGCAACATTATCGCGATCGATTGACCGTTGATCTCGAAACGAGAAGGGAGAAAAAAACGACAAGATCGACCTGTTTCGAGGAAGCTTGATAAAAAGATCGAAATCACGAAGGTGACGTGGAGTTACGTTTACAAGAACAATCTGTAACATTGAAAGCTGCGACACGTCTATAAATATTCAACAGTTGTGTCGCATACGGAACGTTGAGAATGTTAAATAGAGCAAAGTTGTTGTCACGCGGTGGACTCAGCCGGTTCGATATTGTAAAGGATGTCCGTAAAACGATCGCAAGTAGAGGATTTTTACAGTCGTAGGACGTTAAATTATAAATTGTACGCGCGGTATTAGAGAGCGATATATCACTATGTGCTGACAATATTAATGCTTACGTAACCAGGCATCATAATCGATACTGCGCGTATGTCGGGCGCTCGGTAATGAGCAAAGAATAACGATGCTTGAGCAATATAAATAGTCGACCCAAAAATTATACAGAGAGAAGTAAATGTTCCTGTCGATTGCTTCTTGTTCTTCTTTTTTTTTTTATCCTGTTATCGTAACTCTGTGTGCGCGCGCGCGTGTGTGTGCTCTCGATTATCGATCGATTCGCGAGTTATAAGAACAGAAACAGCTGAGAAATTCAAACCTAGTTCTTTTTCTCGACATATCGTTGTTAATTCTTCTTTTTTCTGCATGTACACCTTTATCTCGAAACTAACGATGAATTTCTAGCTGCGTACGAATCACCTACGATTTTTCTACATTTGCGTATCGCGTTTTATGTCTCGAACGAAGGAAATTTATTGATCGTTCCCGTTGAAAACTGCGTTCTACGTGTAAATCGCAAGGTTCGGTGTGGTCGTTAGAATCGTTGTGAACGTTAGATCGTTCAAGAGCGATTGCACAAACGTTTCGACTAATCACTAAATAAAACCTTATCACAAGTAATCGTAACGCGCGTGAACATCTTCGGATCGATCGTCTCGCGAACGAGCGCGAGAGAGAATCGACTAATTATCGTAAAATGGGGGAAAAAAGAAGCGGGGAAGACGTGTACTGCAGAGCTGGAAAGTTGTCCAACGGGATTGTACAGAGGCGAGAGGGATACTATGCAGAGGTGAGAAGATGGCTAGCGGGAAGCACAGGGGCAAATATTGCACGGTGCTCAGGAGTTTGTCCTCGGGGCAGCACACGGGCCAAAAGGGCATTTTGGTTGCCCCGCGGGCAGCGCAGGGGCGAGAAGGGCATTTCTGACTCTCCTGTCGCAATTTTACGTGATAAGATTCGTGGATGTTATCTCGTCGGCCAATATGTATGCCCTATTTCTATGATTGTGTTAGAGAAAGTGGACTTATGGGGATATGACCCAATCAGATACACGTCCTTTCTAGGGGCAAACTCCTGAGCTCTACACAGTATTTACATCGTTCACACCGTCTGATTTTCTCGCCACTCAATTTTGTACGATAAGATTCGAGGATGTTATCGCGTCGGTCAATTGTTAACACGTTGAATGCCCTGGGGGTCGTCGATGACCCACGGTGCCAAGATTAGCAAAAGCATTTAATTTGAATAAACGGTAATATTTGCAAAATTTTCATCTAATGCATCACACAGCATATTTAAACAGTCCCATTTCTAACTGTTGACATTATTTATGCATATTGCGACGTGTTGTATTAAAATAAAAAATTCATTTCGGCGCCGTGGACAAGTTATATAGAATTGGTCCTACACTCAACGTGTTAACGACAATACTACGCGCAGATGAGATGTTGGCACACCAGCTACAAGCTAAAACAGAGGACAGGAGAATCGTGCTCTCGCTCCATCCAATCTCCTCTAAGAAATCTTACTTTTAGGGTCATTCTAGGTATCTCACTCTGTCGCGTTTCTTTTGTTCGCGTTCTTCGTTACGCGACAAACTTCTAGATATAATCGACTCAGCCAATAATACCAATGTATGCGAATAGAGGTGTCACTGTTAGACTGCAGCCATTTAGATCGGTGGCTAGTGTATGAACATCTCATCTCCGCACAGTAAGTGTGCCCAATTTTCACGATTGCATTACAGAAGATGGACCTATGGAGATGTGACCCGGTCAGACCCACGTTCGTTGCGCTAGCCAACTTCTCAGCTCTGCGCAGTACTCACTCTTCGCTCGCAATTTTATACGATTCGACTCGTCGATGTAGTCGCTTCGGTCAATAACGACAATACGTGTGCTCTATTTCTACGATTGTGTCAGAGAAGATGGATTTACGGGGATACGACCTAATCAGACCAGCATTCCTTCCGCGGAATTTCTCTCCAGCTCTGCGCAGTACCGATGGGAAGCTTGTAAACTCTATATCACGACGATCGCAAAGATTCACCATGTGAAAAATACGATCCCGTCGAATCGATCGATACACGTTCCTTCTTCTATTTCTTTTTTTTTTTTTCTTCTGCGGTCGCAACAGACACGTTTGAAAACTGAACAGGCAGTGAGGGAATAAAGTTATTCCTATATTTCACCCGAGCACATTCTCGCGGAGATGCACGTAATCGCGGATTGATCCACGACTCGCGGAGCCTCGAGGTTTCTTCGAAACGATGCACAAGTATAACCCTTGACTGTGCTTTCTTCGTTAAACCAAAGGGGGGAAAATGAAGTTGTAGTGTATCTCGTTTACTATCCCACTGCCACAGTCGATTCGACTCGATCACAGGTCCTCGATGGACCTTTCGATTCGTCGGTCCACGATGACTCTTGCTCGACTTCGGCAATTGCACATTTCTCGTGACTTCGTGTCATTGATTTACCTATAGAACACTTTCGACCAGCCAACCTCGGCGAACACGGATATCCGCACACAATTGTTCGAGCCTTTTTGTTTGTTTGTTTTTTTTGCATTGAATAGGCTCGTTTTCCCTATATTTCTTTTTTTTTAAGTTCTTTCATTTCTATCGATTCGTTATTTCTTTTATCTTTCTTTTTGATTATACATTGAGTTCGTGGCTGCGCGGACATACGTGTCGTTTCAGTGGTCCACCAGAAGCTGTTCGCGATTAGAAAAAGCTCGCGAAAGCTCAGTTGTACGGCCAGGAGTGCCTGATTGAAGTGACCACGTTCGAGGTAGGCGGGTCCTCCGGGCGTCACTTCTTCATGTCGTTCATCAACGTACCATCCTTGCTCTTCGTGTCGAGGCTTGACTGCTGACTACTTGTCACGCCGCTCCCGTTGCCTGGGTACATCTTCTCAAGGTGATTCAAGGACTCGCTTAGGAACTTCTGTAATTAAAGAGGATTTGGTGGGTGAATTAATCGATAGTTGAATTGTGGGTCAATTTTGAGTACATTTCGTGGCTCGTGGGGAGGAACGTTAATATGGCGATCTACATTTCACTAGATTTCTGAGGGACGTTGATATGGCGTTTTGTGGTTCGTTGATTTATTTAGGAAGTGAACAGTGATTATTTTTGATAGTCAGGGATTTCAATGTATTAATTATTCACTTTGAGTGGAATATGTAATTGTTGTTGAAGATTTTCAATTTTTTCTCGTTAATTTAGTGGAAGTGTAGAGTTAATTTTCATTTGAAGTGTAATATCCAAGTATTATTGGAGATATACAATTTTTCCTCGTTAATTTAGTGGAAGTGTAGAGTAAATTTTCATTTGAAATGTAACACCTAATTATTACTGGAGGTTTACAATTTTTCCTCGATAATTTAGAGGAAATTTAGAGGAAGTGTAAATTTTTATTTGAAATGTAATATCTGTTCATTATTAAAGATGTGAAAAATTTTCTTCGTTAATTTAGAGGAAGTGTAGAGTAAATTTTTATTTGAAATGTAATACCTAATTATTATTGGAGATTTACAATTCTTCCTCCTTAATTTAGAGGAAATTCAGAGGAAATGTAGAGTCAATTTTCATTTGAAATGGAATATCAAATTATTATTGGTAATTTAAAATTCTTCCTCGTTAATTTAGAGGAAATTTAGAGGAAGTGTAGAGTCAATTTTCATTGGAAATGTAACATCTAATTATTATTATAGATTTAAAAATTTCTATCCTCAATATTTTCAAAATAATTCACACTTCCTCTTCCACGATTATTTAACCAACGATCTACTTGTTTAATATATAAAATACTGTACCTGTATTGCTGTAAGAGCGGCTACGATTGCAGGACTTCCGAATCCGTGTGATATGAGAGAGAAATGTGTTAGGTGTCTCTGTATGCTTGGATCGAGTATGTGTTGTGGCCGCGTGTTGCACAATGGCGATCTGTCTTGATTCAGAAGATCCATCAGCTCTTTGGTGATTTGTCTGGGAAAAAAAAAAACAAAAAAACACACACATTTTTTCAAAACGAACCTAAACATCACATTCAAATTGAAAATTCTCGTTTATCTTTTCACGATTTTGAAATCAAAATTTCTCTTCAATGCTCGAACAATCCCGATTATCTCTCTCTCTCTCTCTCTCTCTCTCTCGCCATTGTTCGCGCCACGTGGAAATAAATTCTTACTTGGTGGCATGAAGAAGTTCTTTTCTCCTGTAGGAATCTTGCGGTTCACAATGCTGCCGACTGAGGTATTCGGCAACTTGTTTCGCAGGGAATTCGGTTTCGCAAACGTAGCCGAAGTCTCTGGCAAGGTGAATGGCTTCTCCTGAAAAAAAGAAATAAAACGGCTCGCTGTAGGAACGTCGATTACGCAACCGATCGTATGAAAATGTATGAATTTTTTTTGCCATTCATTTACGACGTAACGGATCGAGTCTTCCTTATCGAGGCTGAAACGTTTCTTTATTTTTTTCTCTCCGTTCAAACACTGTTTACTTCCTGATTTCTGTTCGTTTCCTTTGCACGTTCAATTTTACGCGTTCTTTCATATACTCCAGATCAATTTCGGACAATATTGGGGTTGGTTTTTTTAAATGAACCTTTAGATACATTTCCACACGATTTTGTACACTTTTCCCAAGGATTAACAAGTTTCGTTATTTCAAATTTATAAAAATTTTTAATTTTTCAATGCTACTTTTACTGTCTTCATTTCGAAATGATTTATTTGCTGAAGAAATTGTTGAGGTGTTCGAAGAAATGGTAGTCTTTGGGGGAAAATCTAACGAATAGAGGAGGATGTGACAAAATTTGATATTCCTTACCATGGATTGTTTTCAATAATTTTTCTTAAGACGTTTTCTGGCCTTTCTTTTTGGCTCATTTCCAATGAAAACTCACCAATCTCAAATTTTGCACACCAACGTTGAAATATCCTAACATTTACACAACCTCCCTCAAATGCAAAATTTATATTAGCACTTGTTACCACAATTTTCCAAGTTAAAACTTATACAAAAAAATTACACGAGAATCCTAATTAATCATCACGTCATGTAACAATGTCCAAAAAATTTTATTATAAATTTTTTTACTATTGAATTATTGTATTATAAATTTCTTTACTATTCACAAGTGTACCATAAAAAATTCCTTCTCAATTGCGCATAAAAGTTTAATTGCAATTACAGCACAAATTTGCACCAACCTAATAGTACACAAAAGACCAAACTGCAAATTTCCACGAACAATTGTCGTTCACCGTTATTTCGCGCAAAGTAGACGAAAAGGAGGGGTATAACGAGTCCGCGAGGCTAACGTCGGAGGGCACGAGAGGGAGAAAGAGAGGCTTCCACCCTTTAAAACAAACGCCACGAAGCCATTTCGCGCGTGCCAGTTACAAGATTGTTCTCTACCGGAGGAACGAACTAATTTACGATAATGAAACAGCATACGTGCTTTCTCTTCAGCACGTGGTCCGTTTCTCCCCTTTCGGAACAATTCCCTTCATCCGTCACCATTTCTCTCTCTTCCTCTCGCTGTCTCCCCCTTTCCGCACCTCCACAACCCCACTTCTCTTTTGCCCTCGATGATGGCAGGTAATTAGGTACCTACAAGCAGAGAGTCTCGTGCAAGATGGAAGCGGACCCGCTGGGCGCTATTATCGACAAGCGAGCAAAACCACCCGCAGGCCTGCCGGGTTTCGCCTACGAGATCGGGAACAGAGGACCGCGTGAGCCACCTGCAGCTAACGAATTATCCAATTTCGCGGACTACCTTTACCGTTTCTTCCTTTTCACGCGGGTGAAAAGTATGCAAAACGCCGCTGATAATTGCGCCTTCGTGTTATACACCTCTTAGTACGCTCGAACGGGAGCCTTTTAGACGCTTTTGGGCTCTTTTCGTCGATGCACACGGTTACAGGGTTCTCGGTGAGATATTTGTGTGTTTTTGGTTATTCCATTGGAGAGTGAAATTTTTGACGGCTGATTGTCACGATAGGGAATTATTGTAATTAATATCGTAGTAAGTTTATGGCTATTTTTATAGTTTTGCTTGTCGATTTTATTGACGCTTTAAAATTTGAGAAATATTTCTTTTATTTTCCTAATATCTCAAAAATGGAATTCTACCGAGTTTAGTTATTTAAAATTTTTATACACATATATATTCTTTT